ATTGAAACAAGTTGAGTAATTTAGGATCCAAAGAGTTCCATAAAAGATTACACAATTGTGCATTAATTCGGGTTCACTTAGTCTTTTCACTAGTATTAATTTCACTAGCATTTTTGACTAAGTGATCCTCATATCCCTGTCCCATGAACCACATCTCAACTGAAGAAGACCATGGTGAATAATTATTACTACCTTGTAATTTAACAGTAGTGATAGTGGAAGGATTCAAAATTGGAGAAAAAAATGGTTTGACTTTTTCTGTCGTGGAGGACTCACCTGTCATTTTGATATTTAAATTTCAAGAAGGCAAGTGTACAAAATAATATGGGACAGAGGACAAAAGTAAGAGCACTCTGTAATGAAATAGAAGACTTTGTTGGGCAAGAAAGCTTGTAAGAATGGCCCCCACATGTAAAGACAAAGTAATAAAGTATGACTTGAAATAAACAAAGCTTAACTTTGGAAAAAGCTTTTCAAAACCAAAATTTTACTCTTCTGCTTCAAACGAAAAATCCCATCTCAAGTGACCCACCAAATTAAGACTCAACAGAATACTTTTCTTTTCCTCTCACCAAAATCACAAGATCTGACCGGGAAAGTAGCTTACTAATGGAATCGGGTCAGAGGGTAACAAGATCTGACCGAAAACTACTTCGGAGATTTTAGAGAATGTGATGGGTAAGACTGGAATAAATGGTCGAACCTCACGTATCTGAAATGAAAGTCAGAGATGGCTGGAAAAATCCGCCGAAGAAGTGGATGCCGGAAAAAGCAACCGGAAAAGGTGGTCGGAAAAATCCGTCGGACTAGTGACTGCCGTAAAAAGCAATCGGAAAAAGTATTTGAGTCTCTACCGAGATCGTAGAGGCTCTGATACCACAGCGTTTTGGATAGCGTGCGGCGACAAATAGTGACGAGGGCCCCCTTCACTGAGGCGAGAGGCGCGCAGCGAAGCGCTCGCCTTTTTGATGTGAAGCGACAATTTATACAAAAACATAAAATATTATATACATATAACTAAAAACTCAATAACAATAATATATTAATAAATATATCATTCAAAAATTAAAGACTCAATAGATAGTCATAGACTCATAGTAGATTCATAAACTAAGTATATAAGTATAAGACTATAATTCTATAATTGAAAAAACAGAGCAAACAAAAAAAAGGCTACTGCCTCTGGAAAAACAGCAAAGAAAGAAGAAGAAAAACATAGCAAAAAAAAAAGGCTACTGCCTCTGGAAAACAGCAAAGAAAGAAGAAGAAAAATGAAGAAACTAACAACAAAGAAAGAAGAAGAAAAACAGAGCCCAAAAAAAAGGCTACTGCCTCTGGAAATCAGCAAAGAAAGAAGAAGAAAAATGAAGAAAGAAAGAAGAAAGAGCTGATCATTGAATGATTGAAGAAAGAAGAAAGAAGAAGAAAAAGAAAAAAGAAGAAGTCGCTGCTGAAATAGAAGAAGAAGAAAGTAGAAGAAAAAAGGAGAAGAAGAAGAAAAGAAAAGAAAGTAACATACCCGGTGATGATGGCTGATGATGGAAGAAGAAGAAGAAGATCGAAGGTCGCTGAAGGAGAAGAAGAAGGTCGCTGCTCGTCGCTGAAGGAGAAAAGTGAAACCCAAGCCCTAATTTTGTGTTTTAATATTAATGCTGCCTTTTCTTCCGTTTTATTCAAAAAGCGACGCCTCGCAGCGCCTCTCGCTACACAAGCAGAGGCGCTCGCCTTTTCTTCCTCGCAACGCAACAGACCAAAATAGCGATGCTGTCTCGCCTCGCGTTGCTACACGCTATTAGCACTGTAGCGCTCGCTATTTACAACACTGTGATACCATGTGAATTATGTAAGTGTATTTCACTTCTTCCTTCAAAAGATAGATTACACCTAGAATATATACACAAAGCTAGAGACATAATTCAAAAGTGTATCCCTAAGATCATGGCTTTTACCCACAATCTTTGACTTTACCATCAGACATAATCTAACATACAATCTAATATTGAAATGCTCTCTGACAAGATCTAAGTCTTAACAGAGGGCATAATGTAAAATTCAAATTTCTTCTTTCACTTTTCAATAGATTAACATGGATAGAGCATATGTACACAAAGCATTTTTCTAGCTTAATTTATAAATTCACCTCAAAAAGTAAATCACATATAAACGCAAAACATAACTACATACATGATACCAAACTATAGAAGAATAAAAAAACAAGCAAAGACAACTTATTGGTGCGCGGTCTGATATGCACTTCCTAACATTATGATAAATTTTTCTATCCATTTATATAGTCCAAGACCAAGGCAGTGGGTAGATCTACCTTACTCCACTGCAGAAAGAAAGAAGTGTTACAACAGCTATGATTGAGCGAGCAATGTACTAACCCTGTGAAACCCATTAGAAATCACAGCATAAAAGTAAACATCCTGATTCAGAAACTACAGCCCTTTTTGTCAGAAGAACACCTCAATTGCAAACTAGTTATAGTCGGCTATATGAATCTTCAATATCTGTCTGACTCCAGTTGTATCCATTCTATTCTAATATTCAATACTTTGGGGTTCTCTAACATTTGAAGTTAGCAACATTTTATAATAAAAGACAAATCCCAGAACAAACTAAAAGTAATTATTAAAAAATATCTAGCAAACACTGGTCGTAACGTGAACATACCAACAACCATGTTCATCAAACTCAACATAATTGCTACATTTTTTTGATAACCAAGATTCTTCGGAGGGCCAGTGATATATCATACATGGTTCCAAACTCAGTGAATAATGGGTCACCGTTCCTCTACCCTTCTCCGCTTAAATGCCATGCTTTTATCAGCGGCATGGTTTGTACCCGTGACGTGCTCCTTACCACAGAGCACACATTGCGATCTTACCAATAGACCAAAGCCCTAGGGGCGACATAATTGCTACTACATTTTGCACCCGTTTCATTCCAATACTCAGTAATTTAGGGTTTCTCTACTATCTCCACATATTTTACTTACATACAAAACCCTAAACAAACTATTAAAAGAGCTCCTAGCAAACACAGGACTTAAATTAAAAGTGCCAATATCTCTTTTCACCAAACTCAACAAATTTGCCACCAAAAAAAAAAAAGAAGAAAAAAACAAGACTATGCAGAAAATAGTAAAAAGAATAGGAGGGGAACCTCAGGGGAAATATTCCCATAAAGTTGGAGAGTGAAGGTAAAGGAATCGCCTTGGACACCAACAGCAGAGAAATTAAAAACACCATCTCCCTCACATTTCAATGTTACGTCTTTAGCATCAGGCAATGATATGGTCAAGTAAATTTTCTCAGATCGTTGAGCCCAAAGAACTTCTGGTTGACGACTACTGCACATTTTTTCAAAATTTTCACATTAAGAAATACAAATCGGAAAGGAAAGAAAAAAAATAGCAGATTTTGAATTTTCTCGAAAATGGGTACCTCATTTTTTTGGAGAGGAATTGCAGGTTTGTTTCGTCCACTGAATCAGTTGATGTCGCCTTTTCCGCTACTTTTCGAGTTTAGAACCAAGGTTTTCTACTAGTAGTTCGCACTTACTCCTTTTGACTTGAGTCCTCAGGGGTCGTTGTGGCAATCCAAAATAATCCCTTATATATTGGTCAAATGTTTATTTGTTAAGTATTTTTAATAGCTAATAGTATACGTAATAATTAATAGGACTTTATATATATTGATAGCATAAAAAAATTTATATTATTTGTATAATTTAATTAATTATTTAGGTTAAAATATTAAGCTACGTACAAAAAATTACTTGTACTGGATCGAATCATCGAACTCAAAAACAATATTCTGGAATTCAAACTTATAAAAGTGAAAGTCGAAAATACTATCCTGAAATTCAAACTCATAAAAATAAAAGTGAAATTCAAATTCATAAAAATAAAAGTCGAGAATACTATCTGGAGGTTATATATAAATAAAATTACATCACATTCTCCTAGAATACGAGAAGGAGGCGATTTGAACTCCATGATATTTTTTTTTTTTTTTTTTTTTTTTTGGGAGTTTGCAAGTTTATGTTGGAGTAAATTTCAAACTCCTGTATATTGCTGGAGGTTTTCTGTAATTTTTCTTAGAGTATTTGCGTTTAAATTTCATTTTCGTATTAAAAAACGGCTAAAGTTTACAATATATAATTTTGACTAATGGCTAAATGTTCGACTAGCGGTCTCAATTCTCAAAAAAACTGTCCATTTTTTTGGAAAAATTACGCGACACATCAAATATTTTTACTCTATTTACTATTCGTAGCTATACTTTTAGTAAATTTATCATTCGTAATTATATTTGAATTTTATAACAAATTCATGAAATAAGAGATTACTTGTTTAAACTGAAACAAAAGAGCAACAAGCTCACTAGCTCACTATAGTTTAGAGCACAATAACTATAATTTGCCTAATTACCATTCGTAACTCTCAGCTATGAGAGCTTGCTGCTCTCTTATTTCAGTTCAAAATAATTAATCTCTTATTTTATGGATTTAGAGCCAACTGAGCTATGAGAGCTTGTTGCTCTCTTATTTCAGTTCAAAATAATTAATCTCTTATTTCATGAATTTGTTATAAAATTTAAATGTAGCTACAAATGGTAAATTTGCTAAAAATATAGTTACGAATGATAAATACAGTGTAAATGTTTGATGCGTCGCGTAATTTTCCTTCATGTAAGAGGATTGGACTTGGGCATCATAACCTTACATGGGCCAACCCACATCTAATTGTAGTTTGGCCCATTAAAGTTTTATAAGCCCATTCATCTCCAGCGCAAAGGAGAAAAATATCGACTAAGGGCAGTTCCTCTTCTTCTCCCACTTTTCAGAAAACCTTAAACCCTTGAAAAGCTTCCATGGCGGTAAGTACTCAAGTAGCATTCTTCAATAGCTGCTCTTGCTTTTATATACTCGCTGTTACTTTGTTCTTCTTTGTTATCTTAATATTATTATTTTACCTTATTATTACAAAAGTATATATATTTGTTACTGAATAATTGTATTATACTTCTTACTGTTTCTCTGGTTAATAAACCTGCAACATGTGATGCACCGTGCTCAGCTTTTTTTCTTCTCGAGAGTCTAACTAAGTTAACTTAATCAACATTCTAAAAAACGTATTTTTTTGGTCAATTTGATATGAGAATAGTACTTTTAGATTTTTTCTTTTAAATTTCTTAATTTTAATTTGAAAAAAAAATGAATATATCTGGTCGGAATTAGCTTAATCAATTTATCGAATTGATTCTCCCTAAGCAGAATTACCAAACAGATTGAAACATAGAGGGTAGATCCTAAGTATCGGTGCAGCTTATTTTAGAAGCTTGTTGGTAGCCCCAAAGGCTTAGTTCAAGTGGCAATGTTTGAGGGACCACTGACTTTGGTCGCAGGTTCAACCCCGATACCATGTGAACTAAGCCTGGTATTTAAGTGGGGAAGGGTAGAGGACTGCAGTTGGTCCTAAGGATCGGCCTCAGATGGGTTTCTCGGTCATAAAAAAAAATTCAGAAGGTTGGTACTGAAAATCTTCTGAAGAACTCCAGGTCTGTTGGTACTCAAGATTTTATCTTTGCCATATTAATCATCATGATGTTGTACCATTTACTCATTATGCGGTGAATAACAATACAAATAGAGTAATGTTCTATACTTAGAAACTTTGGGTTCTGATTCTGAATAGCTTTTAATATGTCGTCATTGCAGACAGTACCAGTTAACCCCAAGCCTTTTTTGAACAATTTGACTGGAAAGCCTGTGATGGTAAAGCTAAAGTGGGGAATGGAGTACAAAGGTAATCTGCTGATTGGACTTATTGGTTCCTAATATTATGTTCTTCATTAAGGTTTTTGAGATTGAGATGTCTGCAGACATTGTTTAACTAAACTCCTTCTTGTCTTTTCGCTTTCTAGGGTACCTGGTCTCAGTGGATTCATACATGAACTTGCAGGTAATAATGTTTATTTGAGTTTCTGTCCTTTTCCATTTCAAATTCTCTAAAAGAACATTATTAAGTGGAAGTATGTGCATCTATATCTTTATGGTATGCTTGACTCCATTACTATTCCTGCTATCCATCAGGGGCATGAGTAGCTGTCTAGATAACCGCATTTACTACTACTGTATTAAAAGTTTTGTTATGCAAGCAAGTTGAAAAGAATTTTTCCTAATATCAAACTTTGTTGGTCCAATTCTGTTTTTTTTTTTTTTTTTTTTTTTTTTGTGTGTGGCCAATTGTTGTTAACTTTGAAATGGTGGGAACATTTACTTTTTTTTCTTTCCTATATGTGGATGTGGGTTGGGGATGGACTGTGTTCAGTAAACTCAGAGCTTTGTTCAAGAAAAAGTAGCATTAAGTTCTTGCAATAATACAGATTGATCACGGATGCAATAAAATATCAAAAACTAAGAGAAAGCCCGTGAACTATTATACATTTTGAGCCCTTTCCACAGTATTTCCTTGTTAAGGATAGCTTCTTGTATCCTGTCTACATAAAAAAAATGACTCTGGGAGGAGAGTCTGTTTTACAAATGGCTTTACAACTAAAATCAGAAATATAGCAAGCACAACAATAAAATTTACAGTAAAAGCACATTCATTGCCCGAAGAAGTAATTTCAAGCTCCTAGTAACCTGCTTGTTCTATAGAAGTGTGCATGCGTGCGTATTTTTCTGTGTGATTTTCTGAAATCGTGTTATTCTTTTTACAGCTTGCAAACGCAGAAGAATACATTGATGGACAATGCACTGGTTCTCTTGGAGAGATCCTGATTAGGTACCTTTGTGGCTTCGTCATTTGATCTTGATAATCGTATTTGAAATTAATGCCAACAGCTGAACATAATAATCATAATATCATGGTTATTTTTTTTAAAAACATAGTAATTGTAATAGCTCAAACTCCTTCATTTCTTCCTCTCCCCCTGGCTCTCTTTTCTGCCTGCATCAGGTAGCAGGCGTATAAAACTGAAGAAACATTTAGTTGTAAATGGAGCTCATCCTTTTTCTTCCTTGGTTGACTTCTTTTTTTAAAAAAAAAGGTTCCTACAATTGGTTGAATTTAGGAGGTGGAAATATGGAGATTTTTCTTTGTTTTGCATCTTTTTATTAGTTGCATGTCTCGTGTGAATGACAAATATTAGACGAGTATGACAAATGTTTGATGTACTCTATTTGCCCTGCTGCCTTAGTAATATGAGTGAGTATGCAGACATTCGTAGCGTTTCAAAAGTAGTCTCTTATTGCTAACTAATTCTATCCATACCTGCGGACTTGATTTACATGTTCCATCTTCCTCACAATACCATTCTTCAATCGGATCAGTTACATAAGATCGTAAAAGTTGCCTCCCTGTTTTCATTTTTTTTAAGATTTTCAATTCTTGTAAAAAAGTGCCTTAAATATTTATTGATTATTGATTGGTTTATAAGTTTATGATTCAGAATTATCTAAATGGTAGTTGACTGACACATCACTCTACCATAGTGATCTATTTAGCTCTTATAAATTTACTTGTTAATTTGTAAGAATCAATTGTATCATGGTAAATCACCAATTCACTTTTGGCAGTCTTTTCATATAGTTATATAACTTTATTCGTAAAAGCATTTGCCCTAACGAAAATGTGACTTCTGTTTCTTAACCTTAGCGATTTCGCTTTTGCAGATGTAATAATGTCCTCTATCTTCGTGGTGTACCTGAGGATGAAGAATTGGAAGATGGCGACCGCGACTAGATAGTGTTTTGTATTAGTAGTGTGATGGTTCTTTTGGTGCAATCAGATTTCTGGTTCATTGAACATGATGGAACAACATATTCGTCTGCTCGAATGTATTATCAATTATGTGTAAGCTTTCCTAGATGCTGCTATCTAATCTATATGATGATGGATATAGTTGGGGAAGAGGTTGGTTTTCACTATAGAACAAAACGAAGATGGAAACGCCTCCCTTCTTCATATTGAGGATCTTGATAAACTCTACGACTATGAGGATTCAAGTAGGTTTTTGGAGTGTGTTTATGGTCTATTTTGTTTCTCCACGTGGCAGCAACCTGCTATAATTTGCAATCCCAGTACATGAGAAGTAAGATTTCTTTCCGACGTAGATATGGACCGCTATTGTCACTTTTCGTTAGGTTATGAACCAGAAGAAAAGATTTCGTTGTTTTTATGAGACTCGAAAATACAACAAGGTATTTTAAAACATACACAAGAAACTGGATTTTCACTTTAGGCATAGACAAATCGTGGAAGGAGATCGAAACCATTTCCCAGTTTAATCGATTGAGGGAGTTTGCATTAATGGAGTTTAACTCCATATGTTGAATGGTTTTATTGGGAAGAAAAGTATGGTTGCATTCGATGTGAAAGCCGAGAGTTTCAGAACTATTATATTTAAATAATTATCACCTATAGAAGTGAAGGAAAGTTTTTAGGAAATGGCCAACTTGAAGAATGGGGGAGGCATTTCATTACTGGCTTTCACTTGGTTTATAATGAAGGATATGCAGTTCCATAAAATGCATTTTTGTCCCCAGACGTACATTAATGGAGAGATTATAGAGTGAAGCGCTATAAATTCTCTTATTTCTGTTACGATATTACAAGAACAACTTGGATTAAACATTAAAGGCATTTATCAATGTGTAGAAAGCCTCATCCCATTGGAGAATTGCAGTGCTGCTCAACAGGGTTGAAATGTTAACTCACCTTGTGCTCGGAATAGACAATTCAGTAATACCGTATCACCAAATGTCACAGAAAGCACAGAGAAAGTAAGATATATAGCAGAAAGAAACTATTAATATAGAAACTGCATGGATATCAATGTGGCCTGTTTTAGGCAAACTATTCCCCTAAAAATTCTACATTGCTTTACATCCATTCAGATATCCTACATTCTTCAGCGTTCAACTTGATAAGAATTTAGAACAAAAATGATATCCTAAAAAGGGAAATCTAGCTGTATTTATAAGAAAACATTATTTTTTCACGAAAACAATCAACTGATACACAGTAATAACTTCAAATCAGCTGTTCTTGAATATAAGCGACAACTTCTGCATTTTCATGCTACCTGACAAAGCCAACTATATCATGATAAAAAGCCACAAGATCAAACCGTTAGAATCAAGCAAGTACAAGATGACCTCGTCCTCCACAGTCTGAACACATTATGTTACCAGAACCCCCACAACCTGCAAGGTCAAAGTCAAAGAGTAAAACATCTGGCTGCTTTAAGATCTCAATAAAGATGATTCTAGAAATCATTTAGATGAAATTAAAGACAGAGGAACAATATAAGCAGGAACTGAAATACATGAATAATTTTAACAAGGGAAGAAATATTGTTAAGAAAGAGCATCCACGGTTTTTAACGATTTGAAGGTTAGAGAAATTGCACATCGACAAGGAGCAGATTCAGGATATCTTTTCAGATCAAATTAGTTCCGGTATTTGCACAAAGTCTTTTAAACAGGTCAGAGACTTTTATGTCAACGTAGGGATAATTGTCAGATTTACTAAGCCTCTAGTTTTAAAGAACCCCTAATTTGACTTAAAAACAACTCATCTACTATTGGGATGAAATGGATGCAAACAGAACAAAATGTTTATGGAGGATTCACATAGACAGCAATATGGTTCTTGAACCTTATTTTATGCTTTAGCATAGTGTAATATCAACCACATTTTCTAGATATGGTTAACAAGTTCTCAAAATTCCTACATTTTGTCATGGCCTCCAAGTTCTAGAAAAAACGGTGTGAAAACTCAGCTTGCAAGTTCATTTGTTCCCTAGAAGTTAGTGTTCTCTGTGTTATGATTCTCTGGTTGTAAGGCCATACAGTTTCTATATTCACGGGTCGCCAAAGCTTAGCTAAAAGCTGAAGGCTCTTGCCCCAAAGCTATGAGTTTCCACTGATTAAGCTAGCTGAAAGAAATTAAAATGAGAAATGCTCAGGTAATAACTTTCAAGTTCCAACTATCCAGGGTAGGAGGAATTTGTAAAGCAGTTAAACTTGTCCACGTTTTCTCATTTCAAAAATTTCTTAAGTGATCCACTTGTAACAGCAAAATAGTAATATATCATCAATTTCCACCACAGGGAATTAAATCCCTCAGCCTTAGATAATCCTCAAGTACGTAATATTGCAATATTATGGACCTAAACAATGCATTTATGATATTGAGGACTCATATAGCCGACCCCAACTAGCTTGGGATTGAGGCCTAGTTGTTGTTGTTGGGAGTTAAATCCCTTAATCAGAATAGAAAAACTGATTAGCTATGGACCTACACTTAGGGATAAAGAGCGGAAATATAACAAGTCTAAAATATGTCCAGCAATCAGCATACAGTGAAAAAGATTGAAGGAAATATGAAAGTGAAGGGAAAGAGAGAAGAAAAGTAACTTACCTAAGCATCTAACTTTGACAATTATCCCCTGACTTTCCATTATAGAATCAACATATAGGCCTGTACCGGAGCAGGTGGTGCAAAGGACAGCACCTTTAGCTTCACATCCGGGACAATGAGGATTATCTCCAATACTTTTCTTGGCCAAGGACAATCCAGTTGGCTTCTCAATTCTTTCCTCTGGTACAGATTTATCATAGCAAAACAGAGATTCAAGACTGCTTATTCGTTTGTGAGCATCACCTACACCATTTATTTGCATTGCCTGCAATATTGAGGCACATACTCTTATTAAGAGAAAAGTAAAATTTGAGTTTTTGCTAGATTATTTTCAATCACGTTTTTCGTTATGATCACGAAAACAAATGAAATATATTTGCTTTGTGAAATTGATGCAAAAGATCTTAAATAAATTTTGATACTGACATGCCTAGCTAAATCCTTCTCTCTAAGTTTTTTGGTAGTGTTTTTTCAATGTTAAGCTGTATGCTACCATCCATTTGTCATGCTTCTAGTTTTCATTGGAGGCGGATGCAGTGTAGTCTCAACAAGTTAAACTAAACCCAATATATTTCTCACAGAGCATAAATACACATACGAAAATTCACTAAAATTTCAATAAATACTAAGTTTTGAATCCATAATTTCAAAAATACAATGGATTCAGTAGCGAGAATATAAATATTGAACTTGTCAACTTAAAATGCTGGATCCGCCACTCTCTAAATAAAGGCATGTGGTGGTGCCTCATCAAGAGTACACATTAGGTTAACACTATGGTCAAAGTATCTCTTAAAACAAAAATTTTAATAAGAATTCAGAAAATTGAAGAATTGAAATAAGATAGCATCAAACATGTACTATAAAATTGGAAACAAAATAAGCACTCACTCTTGGTGAGGGAGATTGAGAAATAACATTGTTTGGGGTATTTCTCAAAATGGGTCTTGCAAAGAACAAGCCTGTGCTCCTGTTGAAAATAGAAATTGGCGAAAATTTGGGCAGGCAAACTGAGGAAGATGATATCTTTAACGTACAATCCATTTTCACAAAGTGAATTCAGACCCAGCTAAAGGCGAGAGTTGCTGAAATTAAGAAGATGAACCAAACAAACCTGAAAGATTTTTTTTCTTTGTTATCTGACAGCAATGTATTTCTCTTTCGATTCATATGTCGATGAAATTCAATGTCTCTCACCTAGTATTTAACGACAAATGGATCTGTCTTTACATTCTCTGTACCTTTCTATTTCTGCAACTCGAACTCAAGAGAGATGAGGCTCGTTATGGATAAATTTGGCAAGTGGGCTGGACTAGTCCCTTGAACCCAATTGGCTCATTGAGTCTTTGGACCACCGTAAGTGGAACCTTAATTCCGAGCCCCGGGATCATCCCGGCCTTGCACTGCCCCCAACATAACAAACAACATAAATAAAGTTTTTTGAAAAATTGGCATCCTATAACTAACACATAACATGAATTGGCAATTTTTTAGCCTTATATTAGGTTTGGCAAAGATAGCTCCAAACAATTGGCATTATATAGCCAAATCTTAAAAAAATTACTCTCTTTTATATTCTCTCTAAAAAAAAAACTACACGCTTATTTTGGCTTCCCACCCCTTTTCTCTCCTTGTATTTCTTCTTCCATCTCTTCTCTTTTCTCTCATAGTTTAGCAAATTTTTTGCAAATTATGCAAAAAAAATCAGTGAGATGAAAAGGTAAGGTTGATCTCACATCAGAGAAAATCAGAAGCAAAAACTAAGAGAGAAAAAATATATTTCAACTTTATTTTTCTTCTCTCTTCTTTTTTTGGTTGGATTGAATGAGCGGGTGTGACTGAAATTAGTTAAAAATATCTAAACAAGGCTATATATAAAATTTGAGCAAGATTAGCAAAAACTAAGAGAAAAAAATATATTTCAACTTCGTTTTTCTTCTCTCTTCCTTTTTTTGTTTTGATTAAATGAGTGGGTGTGATTGAAATTGGTTGAAAATGCCTAAACAGGGCTATATACAAAATTTGAGCAAAATTAGAAGTGATTTAGACTGGTTTCAGGTAAAAAAATCAGACCTAAAAATCCAACTGCGACATGTGTATATCACGTTGTATATCATGTAACATCAGTGTATATCACACACAAGTTTTTTGACCTCTGTGTATATCACTTTGTATATCGTGTATACAACACAATTTTTTTATGGACGCCCGTGTATATCACATTATATATCATATATATAACACAAATTTTTATGGATATACACAGACACACATAATATACATGATATATCACTGATGTACATAGAGATATACACGGATTACAATAGGGGATACACATGTGGAGTCGTCTTGAACTTGAGTTTTCAATATGAAATGTGTTATACAAAGAAGGAAAATAAAATTTTAATAAATATTTTTGATATACACATTATTATTATGTTATACATTATGATATACAAATAATATAATTATTAATTATTGATCAAAAAAGGATTTTTTTTTATATAGCATGTTTAAGCAAGTTCTAAAATATAAAAATAATAAATATAATTGAGGGAGTAAATAATATTTTGGTATACAAAGAAAATTAAATTTTGATATACACAAAGA